ACAGTCGACGTGGTTCTTGAGCGAAGGACAGCCTTGTTACATTGTAGTAGCAAGTATTTATAATGCACAATATGCATGTAAAGTACTTCAGACATTATAAACTGTTATGGGATAGCAAGAACTGTTTCACTAAAAAGTATCAAATGAAAAATATAATTCTGAGAGAATAAAGACTATTTGGGACACAAAAAAATAACTCTTCAAAATGTACACAAATCATTTAATGATTAAAAAATTGCCCTGTAACTGGAATTTACTCCATGGAAAAGAACTGAAAGTGAAAACCTTAGCAGCGTAAATGAAAAACGTCAATGAAAGAAGAGAATGTTGTAATCAAAAGGGGCACTTCAGTTTTGCATTTTGGGCCATTTTTTTGGTTCATTTTCAGAATTGCTACTAAAGAGCTTCTGTTTAAAAATACTGAAGTTATTCAGATACTTAAAGGTCATTCTGAAAGCTGTCTCTTGGAGTGCGGTGGATTATTTTTTTTTGCTAGTCTTGTTCTATTCCTTCACTCTGCCTTTAACTATCGGATTAGAATGGATCTTTTTTACAGCAGCCATTTTGACATGAAATAGGGTAAACACAGGTGTTATCAATGATACTAATTAAGGTTCTGTTCCATTCAGCTCAAACAGAGTCGGGCTGCTGTTGTGCATGTTGGCTGACTGGAAAGGCTCTGCTACACTAAATGGAACAGAACCATAATTAGTGGTCACACCTGTGTTTACCCTGTTTCATGTCTAAATGGCTGCTGTGAAAAAGGCCTTATCTACGAAAATGTAACCCTTATTTTTGGTACAGTACGATTAATTACTGCTACCATAAAAAATACCACTGTAAAAAACTTGTTCTAGTTCAGATTTTAGGAGTTTGACTTAGGTAAGAACATCTTGGTTAAGTCTGGGCTGGGTTATTTTTGTTATAGGCTGATGTTTTTTTTATTTTAATGTAAAAAAAAAAAATGGTTGAGTTCAAATGATGAAGATTTCTCCTACAATAAGTGACAAAAAGATGCAGTATATGAAGAAGATCACTGCAGACTTTAAGTACTGCACTGAGTCGTGTCATCTGCAGAAATACTCTGATGACACGGCTATTGTGGGGTGTGTTGAGGGTGGGAGGGAGGCTGAGTACAGGGACCTGTGTCGAAGTATTTGGGCGGATTGTGGAGCATTGGTGTGGGGATGACACCACCTGCAGCTAAAGTGTGCAAAGATCAACAGAGATGGGTTAGCGTATGGTTTTATAAGAGAGAGGGGCAACAGCCACCCGTTGCTTCCTCCGTCGTGTGGAACCATCGGCTGAGGAAACTAAACAAATGTGTGATAGTATTGGTTGTCAGGAGTAGTAATTTATCTTTGAGGATATGTCATTTCATCCTGGACGACAAGGAGCCCTAGAGACTCGGTCTCTCTGCAATGCAGAAAGGAGCCACATTTGCTCGCTCTTAACGCTCAAGGATAAAGGCCTGAGAGGCTTTTGTGTAACTGTGAGGATAGAGGCGCTACAGTCCATATACAATGTTGCAGACCGAATTGCTTGCAGGATATGGTTTCTAGTTCCAGTTCTTTTGTTTTTGACGAGTCACGCAGATCTTATCTTTTAGCTGCGGTGGTCCCTGGGGTTGGCGGGCATCAAGGCAAAAGACGCCAGACACACGACTGGTAGACTAAATGTCATTAAGTAAGGCAGTGTAGCCTCTGTGTTGTGCTATGGCTCTAGTTAGTCACCGACCTGGAGAGTCAAACCATGCGCTGTGTGGGGACATAGGAGACGGATGCTGGCATAAATAAAGACTTAGAGTCAGAGCGGACATGTGGATCCAGAGGCAGAAGGGTGGCTGCGTCCGCGCCCAGACTCTAGGACGGCTCTTGTTGGGTTTACAGTCGATCCGGCGTCCTCTCTCAGACTACGTGATAACGTAAGATATCTTGAGCAAGAGAGTTACTGAACTACAAATATTTGCTATGACACCGAATGGCAAGTGGACGATCGGGTGGGTGGTGGTGTCGAAAACCTTGTCCTAGTTAGTTCAATGGTTGACATATGGACCTTTTGGATCTCGCGGGGGTGATCTCCAGACTCGGGATGTGGATGGTGGAGTGCGCGGATAAAAGCGTCTCTTTGGGATGAGAAGCCTCCGGATAATGACTAACAATGGGCGTAAATAACCGAAAGCTACTGGCATTGACGTTTACCTGTCGTGGTTCCTGCTGGAAGGTGGTGGTAGTAAGGAGTATTGGCTATCGCTACATAATGACAATTCTTTTTAATCCATGTTCACTTACAAGTGCCGAATAGGGTCTTTCGCCTGCTTAAGGAACCCGATTGGCGCATGAAATCCCGTTTCCAAAACTCAGTTATATATAAAAATGTTTTGTATAAATAATACTCCACTGACTGATAGGATATAGATTCAAGAAAGTATTAACGATAAATGGACTAAATGTTATAAAAAAATGTGAGCAAAGAAATGCATTGTCAATTATATAATGGTAAGATACTGTTCTCTGAAAATAAATAGAGCCAATCCAAAGATATAGGTAGGTGTTACCTAACATGCTCTATATCTGGTCATTATGATACCAAATAATTTAGCCAGATGTCCTCTCTTTCAGTACTTAATACACATTTAAAGGCCAAAAGCTTATATCTACTTTTAATTATATACTTGTACTTTTTATTTAATTTTGAGTGTAATTTAATGACTTTTTCCAAATAAAAAAGAAATGGATTATACAGTAAAGAGATTAAGTTTCTGTAGTGTATGTGCTATTTCAAAATGCTACCAACTTTCGTAATATGTCAAGAGGTAATGTGTTGAAAGAGATTAATGTAAATCTCTCGTCTTATTTACATAAGTAATCATTTTCTGTCATAGTATTAAAAGTATAAGGGTTAGGTTGCATATTAATTTATATTGGGTGTATTCTATAAATATGTTATAAGTAATTGGTCTGGGAATGGCAAGTGGTTGCAAGGTGGTATATATGGGCTTTAATTTATGTAATATAATCTATCTGAATCCTATACTATACAACACGATTACTCTAACCAATAAAAGTCAAAAATATACACAAAAGTGTTATTATGTCATGTTAATATTGCTTAGGCTGATAGTTTTAATCTTAAAAAGTCTTTGATTCATACCCTATAAATACAACATCATGCTATCATAATCAAGGAAGAAGTGGTTGGGTCTGGGGTCTGTCTGGCATGTATTTGTAGGTGTTGGTGTGTGGGTGGGTTGTGTTGTTGGCCTTAAATGTTTTCTTAGGCAAAGAATAGTAGTAAGGGATCAAACTCAGAACTGGAAAGTGATTTTCAAATTGGCTGCTTGGTTGGTGGTTTAGGTGGTGCGTTCCCGCGTGTCTTATGGCCGATTAAGCAAGAAAAGAGACTTGGTCAGTTAATAAATTGATCTATTCCTAAATGATGGTTTGACCTATTTGGCTAAGATTGGGGCAAAATGAGTAGGCAACCTAAATGCTGATATATGACTACTGTGAGCACGCGGCCAATACCGTTTGAGATTATGTGCTAACACTCGATATCCCACGGTGTTTCCACGTGTGGGTTTTGGTGTCACATCTATGGTACCCAGCTGTTGTGCACACTTTGGAGGACCTTTTATATAGGCATGCTTGCTGTTTACCAGCTCATTGGGTGTGTCGATTTGACGATCCATGACAACCAATAATATGGGGAAATATAAAAAGAATATCACAAGTGATACAAGCGTTCTCCGTCTGTTGTTCAATTATATAAGTTTCCAATCTTTCTAGTCTTTTTATCTACTATTCATTTGTCTCAATAGAATAGATAAATTTTGATATTAATGAGAGGGAATGTTCTTTTAAATACATGAGTTTATTAGAAGGTGCAAACAGAAGCTGTGTCGCTTTTTTATCGGCGGCAAGAACTTTGTTGATGAAGATTGTGCTGGCTTACGTAGGGCGGGTCAAGCACGTAACGGGCGTGTGAAGACTGCTCTTTAACCGTACGGGTACAGCTGTGGTATTCTTCTTCTTTTTCTCTATTATACAGCCTTGCAACACAGAAATTACATGCTCTCCATTTTGAAGTTCCACATCGGTTGTTTCCGGTCGTCGTTCACGCACGCCTTAACTTTGATGGCAAACTTTCTTCTCTATTATACGTCTGAAGGCTTGGAGACCATGTGCGTGCCTACTGTGTTACTTGCTTCATGACGAATCGGGACCCCGCTGATGTGCGTTGCCTTGATGGTGCCGCCGTAACTGAACCTTTCTATAACCTCTCCCGCCTTCAGCCTGGTGGTAGAGAGACGTCGGCTTTTTATAGTTAGGATGGTAGGGGTTAAAAAATATTGCGTAATGTACTACATAACCAGAGGACAGCATAGAGGAAGAGAGAATTTACACACCATAGAAGATATGAGTATTAAAAGAGAGGGTGAGGAGAATGGCGTGGACTAAGATAATTTATAATTCATGTATATGATGTATGATGGATTATATTAAGGACTAAATAATGATGTCTAAATGTCATGCGTAAAACCTTAAAAAAAAATCAATTTGGCAATCACATGAAAAGTCAATTAACTAAACTTTTATATAGCATAATATTACTAAGGAAATGCTAGTTATGTATAATATATATGTGTATAAATGCTTATATGTAGTATAAATTTATATATAATATTATTATATCATAATATATTATCATTATCATTTAATATCAAATATCTATTTATAATGTTATTAAATAAAACTAATCGATGTTCAGTAATTCAAACATCTTGAAATAAAAATATTTGAAATTACTACACCTATTTATCTTTTTTATCTTTTTTAAGTATTTTATTCTATTGTTGTATTTTGACTTTACCATCCTCCTGTCTACCAAAATGTGTATTCATGTGCAGGGTGTGGTGCAGTTCAGATTACTATTTAAATACTTGCTAAGACAACTTTAGAATGTGTATTAGATAGTATGATGCAGTCCTCATGCTTTACCCCAGTCTGAGCGGGGCCCCGCGGCCCCCCTCACTGCCCTCCATAAGGGCTGACGACTCCTCCAGCAGGTTGGGATCCTCCATCTGTTAAGACATTGGGAAGACCTCAGTTACTTGATTCATGGAAGCATATCAATGATCTATTGTACCTCTGGGTGTGTGCTGTTTATGTCTGAGAGGGTAAAATGAGCAAACCTCATCAAAGAACTGCTGCGTTCGACGAAGGATGTGTTTGAGCTCGGTCAGCTCCAGGAAGTTCTTCTTCAAGGCTTCCTGGTTCGTGTTGATCTCCTTTAGTTCGTTCTCCAGCTTCTCGAAGGTGGCCTGCCAGTCACAATCAAGAGACACTTGCTGTTATGGATTTATTCCTGAAGAAACAACTTTTACACCTGCTTTTACAATGTTAGCTACTGTTTAATCTTAATGAAATTACAGTATTTCCCATGTTTATATCAACATGCAGCAATCAGCTACAAAAATGATGGATGGGACGACACATAATATTATCACGTATCGCGATAAAACAGATAAGTATATCTTGGTGAATTTTCATTATTGGGATAATAGAATATCCTCACATGATTGATTAAGCTGTCTAGTTCGCAAATGTACAGTTTTATATTGATTTACTGCCACAAGGGGGAGCCTGGATCTTTCCAGACATTCCAAAATCCTGAGCCTGTCACCATGGCATTGTATCCCCCACAAAAAGTTAAACTGGATGTGTGTAAATACTATGGATCCCACACTTACGAAAAACAGGAAAATTCGGTTTCTGTGACGCAATAAACATATTTATTTGTTACTAAAATATAAGATTCCAGGACGCTTTAGTGCCATTTTAAGATTTTCCATGTGTTGTGGGTCCCTGTGAATTGCAATTTTTTTTCTACCTTCCTTCCAAATCATCAGTATGGATGGGTAAACACAAAGCCAACAATCATGTAGTTCTCATCAATGATTTCCTCTTTTGCCCTTTTTCTTCTCCATATAATAATAATAATAAATAATAAATGATATGATAATTACAGATTGGAGATTGGTTACCTCTAGGTCAATCATGTCCCTGGGAAAAGGCACCTCTGGATTTTCTCCAGTGTCCACAGTTGGAATGTTAGCTTTCTTGATCTCCTTCTCCACAAACCCTGTTGAGCAGAGAGAATCCATGATTCAAAAACTCACCTCAAGATTAAAAAAGAACTGGATCATTTTCTCATTGACAACCCTGTCATTTGCAGGTTTTTTTTTACAGTTTTCATGGGCCTTCATGGAAGTGGTAAAAAAAAAACAGGAGCAATAATAGAAGAAACTGAAGCTCGGCTAAATCATAGGTAGGAACTACACTGTGCCCTTGGCTGGGCCTGATTTGTCTCATTACTTACTCAGTTTCCTGTCCATCTCCTCACATCTCCTCACTTCATTCACAAACTTGCGCTGGAACACATTCACGTCTGGATTCAGCTGTGGGTGGAAAAAAGAGGGGAAAATGTTTTTTTAATTATGGATATTTGGCAAAACCTCAAAGTGACTAGTGCAGAGAAAACTAACTGAAAACTTCTATACATGAATTCATTATTTATTACCAATACATGATGTAATAGGAAAGACATGAGTAACACCACCTACTCTCTGGCCGCTTCTTTTATTTCTGCCTTCAGAGGAGTTCTACCTCCAAAAAATGTCAAAGCATGAGCAGATTCATACTCACATCTCTAAACTGCACCATGCCTAGTTCTCCCAGCTCACTGACGCAGCAGTAGGCTGCTTCAGACTGCAGAAACAGCTGGGCCAGGGTCATCTCCTCGCTCCTAAACAGTTCCCCCATGATGACTACCACACTCCACAACTAGAACAAAAAAACACTGCACCCAGGACAGGAAGACATGTAGAAGAATTAGATTTAAAGATTTTTTTTTATATATGTTCAATCATTTTTTGACACAGAGAAAAGGTCCAGTAAATGGACACATACACACCCATTTTTTGTGCAGGGCAGAATAACAACACACCAATTTCACTTATTTATTATTATTATTATTATTTTGGTCGAATATAACAAATGAATTGATAAAACTAAAGTGGATGGGCTGAGTTTTGTTTTTATCTTTTGTAATTTTTGTAGCGAGGATAGCAAGCTATCCGGGCTAGCTCTCCAACTTCTTTGTATCAGCACATTTAAAGTGATAGGATAAGATCTGGATTATTCTACTGTCTGGCGCCCAACTATATTTTCAATATTATTTTAACAGCTTTCCTGGTTTCAGCTTCTCAGCTGTGAAGATTTCCTGCTTTCCTTGTCTTAAATCACAGCAAACAGAATAATACTGAGTTTTGGATTGTTGGGTAAACAATAGGCATTTGAAGGTGACACTGACTGTGATCGGCGATTCTGACAATTCTTTTATATTTAAAAAAACAAATCAAGAAAATAATCATCAGTTGCAGCCCTTTATAAAATAAAAATAATTACCTCTGCCAACTACAAAATTAAATGTTGCTCAAATATTAATGTACATTTAATAATCCAATGACATACTATATAATAGTACATTCAATTCAATCATTTTATTTGTATAGCACCAATTTTATACAGAAGTTATCTCAGGACACTTTTCAAATAGAGCAGTTAACCGAACTCCTTATAACATTTACAGAGACCCAACAGTACCACCATGAGCAAGACCCTGGCGACGGCAGTACATACAGTATGTAATTAGATATACTATATACACTCACAGGGGCCATTTTTCTGCATTAAGTACTTTAAATACATTTTCCTGATTATACTTATGTAGTTTAACTTTTTTAAGACACGCTTTACATATGGCATTTAATTGCACATTTGTTTGATAATGTGCACTAAAGCTCAATATAAACTCACAGCTCCTGTATTTTGATCTGATCTTAAAACGCTGTCCTCTATAATTTCCAGCCAAAACATTCAAAACATTATTTTAATATGTTTATCAATTACGTTGTTCTAGACCCATGCTGTCTTCTTCCTTATTGCATGGACCTTAGGCTAGCCCAAAAAAGTAAGGAATGTCTGTATTTTTTATTATTTATTTATTTATATGACAAATGCAATAAATATATTGATAAAAATCAATTAAGGGCTTCTGTTAATTGATTATGTCATCAGTTATCAAGTAAGTAAGTATCAATATTGATAAATCGGTAGTGAAAATACTAGCCTTACTTTGATCAAACTACCACTAAGTGACCTAGGGCAGCACAGATAGATAGATAGATAGATAGATAGATAGATAGATAGATTATGAACTCATTCTAAGCACCAGACAGTAAAAACCATACGAATCTTATAGGCTACTTCTCATTACAAATAAATAACAAATGTTATATATAATACTTATATATAATCATATAATATGACTATATAAAGTCTTGTAAGGAGGATGATTAAATTAGTTACACAAAACGGTCTGATTTAATATCCATCAGTCATATGTTATACTTACGTATAAGATACTGTACATACAAGAAGGTGCTAAAGCTGAATACGGAAGGGAATTGCGCTTATTTGCCAAGAGTTGAAGGGTTGGCCTCTATAATAACAGCTCATACACAACGCAAGGACGTAGCCTGAATATCACCTGCAACTGCAAGTCATCATTATGAGTGTAAAAACAATTATTTTTTACAAAAGCAAGCTTCTCAAAAGCCCCTCGCTAGCATGCGGAGCGTCGCTGCGGTCCTGTCGCAGCATCCTATCTGCTGCTGCTCTGCCCTTCACTGCTCAAGGACGCCATGATGCTACTGGCCGGGCCCGGCTCGGCTCGGCCTGCCCCTCTGTTTGAGCATCTGTCGCCTCCTCCATCACACTCAATATGTCCGCTTTTAAAAAAGGTACACCATTCGATACATATAAAGGCAAGTTATATTATATTAATGCTTACACACCAACATCATGGCCCAATATTAAAACCTGAAACTCGGCTACAGGCTGTAGTGTAACGTTAAGAAGCTGTAATTAACCGGTGGAACATACATTTACGTAAGAAACACATCACTGCAAACATTATTCGCCCGCGACAGAAGCAGTCGTCGGTGTCACATTATCACCGTCCTCTCGGCATCACACGTCCAAACATTCGCCATTGGTCATAATTCCCCCACTGGCACAGTCTGAAACACAGACATTACCTAATTTTACGTTAAAGGCTTTTCAAAATGTCCATTTACTCACCTGTGTAAACGGCAGCAGCTCCCTCTGGCCCGTCAAACCCCCCTGGATGCTGCTGGATGCTGTGCTGGTCCAGCTGGTGCATCAAATTAGATACAGTCCGCCGGAAACATACCCGAAAATACAAGATTTCAGAATAAAAGCATGGTGTATTTACGTGATGGAAATTATGTATTTTTTTAACATTGACTCTAAGATTGTTAATGATACTAATGCATTTCAAATATGTTATAGTATTGATCTCCCGTCCGGGTGCATTCTATTGGTTAAAGTAATGCTGATAGATTCGTAATTATGTTTTTTATTTTGGAAATTTCAAACGGAAGCTTATATAAACAATTCCGTCAACTTCACACTTTGTTGCAGGCTTTTATGATCAGTAGCTAGAGCATGCCATCCGCGCAGTACACATTTACATATTAAAAGGATAAAAAAAGACACACAGGCTACATTTTATAGAAGTGTACATACTCTCTCCACATACACACACACACACACACACACACACACACACACAGGACTGTGAAGACCCCTATAAATTATGAGAACACAGGGGTAATATATTGCTTAAAGTCCCCCTCCAGTCAGAAATCAGTATTTCTTCCTACAGTGTGATGTTTGAATGCTGTGTGTGCAGAGTTTGACACTAGAAGGATGTTTTCACATTCACCTGCTAAAAGTATCTCTGTGCTCATTGAAAACCTGATTTTAAGGGTAGGAATGTGAGTGATGTCACTGGACTCCATGTATAAATAGGACAGGTGTAGTTGGTGTGACCATGAAATGCAACATCTCTGTTTTGAGTCTAGCCATTCCCCATCATCATCGTGTCCCTTCTCTCTACTGTCTCTATAATAAAGGCACAAAAAGCACAACATTCTTACAAATGAAGGTGAAATTTCTCCCATTCTAACTATTTCAAAAAAGTTAACAGCAGAATAGTCAGTCACACTCTGTATTGTCCTGACTGAATCAGTCAGAAAACTGGTTAGTTGTTCAATGGGCTTTGGTAACAAAAACACAACAATTCCTATATCAGGATGATTATACACTAAATGAAAACGATACCGGTAGTGAATATCATATTACATTTCTGACAATAGATCCTCCTAAATGGACCTTTAAGTCTTGTAGTATTTATAGGATGATTCTTAACACATCTGCACAGACATATGTTAAGCCTGTCTAATTCTGTCTGACAATTAATTAACATTACACAGTAATATACACAGTATGTTTTGTATTCCTCTTTATGCATGAAATTGGTAGCATAATAGATGTTATTATTTTCACCCTGGCAGTGTGTGAGCATGTGTGCGTGTGTCATCATGGCAAAATGTGGTCCTCAAGACACCTACTGTAGCAGGAACTACCACAGAAACAGTTTTGAATACTTTGCCAAGCAGTGGAAAACTCAGGCTGATTTAGGGGCAGGGGCAAAAAAATAAAAAGGAACCAGTGTGCAGAAATATATGATGCATTTATGGTGAAACAACTTAGTCAGGGTAAGCACCCTAGAGGCCATTTTGAGGCGGCTGTGGCGCAGAGGCAGAGCGGGTCGTCCCCTAATTGGAAGGTTGTTGGTTCGATCCCCGGCTCCTCCTGCCACATGTCGAAGTATCCTTGAGCAAGATACTA